GGAAAGCCTGCTTCTCCCTCTCCCTCTGCTGCTCTCCCTGCCTGTGCTCTCTCTTTCTGTCAAATAAATAAAACATATATATATATTAAAAAAAAGGGTTCTCTCTCCCTCTCCCCCACCCATGCCCCTCAGCGCTGTGTGCAAGCACACGCTCGCTCGCTCTCAAAAAAAAAAAAAAAAGGAAATTTCAATACATGAAAATAACACGTCGATGCTTTCATTCTATGTATGTTTTTTTTTTTCCGAATCATTATTTTTAATGTCCAGCATTTACAATACGAGGGCCAGAGCTTTCTCCCCAACTCAAGTTTATAAATTCTCAATTGGCTTGTGAGGCCAATAGGGATACTTCTTCTTGTCTAATTTGGTTTCTGGAAAGACTTCATTCAGGTCCTCAATGGTCATCTGATCAAATGGAATTATGTTCCGCATCTTCTCCAGCTCTTTTTCATATTCCTAAATCCTGGCCTTTGAGAGAGACAAAAACTCGGCACAACTTTTCACATCTTCTTTTTCTTCAGCATCCACCTGAACAGTATATTTATCCTCTGGCACAGGAACCTTCAGGGCATTAAACTTCTTCTCAAAGTCATCTACCAAACCAGCCTTCGCCACACTGGCCTTGTAGTAAGCCCAGTCGATAGCAGGTGGTTTCTCAGGGAGAGTAGCCAACCTGAAGGTAAGGGTCTCATTCCAGGATTTCAGGGAGTTAGCAATGGCCTTCTGGTTTCGGGGTATGATCTCCCCAAAAGCTACCCAGTCAATGGATTTTAGAGCAAGTTTTCGCGCAGCCATCTTGAGATCCTTCACCGACCCCGGCCGCCCAGAGACCACAGCAGCAAGGAACGGAACTGGGTCCTCTATGTATGTTTTTGATCTGTTTTAAAGATTTGAAAGTGTGTGCAGGGGTGCCTGGCTGACTCAGCTGGAGGAGCACAGGACTAAATCTCGGGGTCCTGAGTTCAAGCCCCACATTGGGTGATTACTAAAAATAAAAATAAATAAATGTGTGTATACGTAGTATATATGAAATAAAATGCTTTTCACCATAATTTGTTATGAGAAAAATTTCTCCACCTCACAAAATGTCATCTTTTCAATTTTCCTACAGATAGAACATTAACAGAACTACAATTAGTACAAAACTGTTGCAGAATTGAACACTAAAATGGCAACCTGAAGATGAGCAAGAATTATTTAATTAGCTTACACAATCACCAAAATAGCAGCAACATTAGTTGCCAGAACATACCTTTCTCCTTTTAACACTAGAGTGGCTTCATATTTAATTCTTAAAGGGGCTTTAAAAAAAACTCCAAGCATTTCTTTAAAAGAGAAACAAGCTGTAGTTTTCAATTTTTACTTTAAAAACATACTTTTCAGGTATTTAATAAGCTAATTTAAATGGTATTGAAAAATTCTTTGACTTTTAATGTCAAAAATCATGGTGCAACAGAGGCAAATATCACCATAAGATGAGGGCAGATTTACTTTCTACATACAAGTTTACTAGAATGTTCACTAGAACATTTTAGATGACAGTCTTTCCTTCCTCTCCTCTAATTTCATTTTACCCAGAAATAACTAGTATTTTTCAGTTTTCAGTTTTCTGAGAGTATATGCTCTCGGACTTCCTTGGGCATACACATACACACACACACACACACACACAAAACATTTAAAAATTTGTTTAACAAAAGGCATCAAATGACTAAGTATTATGTTCAATAGTATACTGTATCCATCTTTCAAGACACAAGTATTTTCCTTCAGTTTACTGTTTGCTAACTGCCTTAGGAATTTCTAATGGCTACACTGGTATCCCAGTAAATGAAATGTTGCATATGAAACCATCTGCAAAATAACATTCCATGTCTTAGGTTATAAGCAGTCTAACCGTTACAAAGTCACTTCTTGAGAATGTAAGTCTCCTCTAATATTTCACATCAAAATCATTCTCAATTTTACATTTCTCCAGAATTATTACTATATGGTCAATGACTGAAGTAGACAAGATTAGCAGGAATATGTATCAGAAATCAATAACACAAAACAAAAAACTTCTTAAATACACTAATAATAAACAACAGAATTGGGGAAAATATAAAAACGAGTCAAAGCCAAACATAAATCAAGAGGTACTTAAAAGAGCAGAAAAATTAACCTTTTTCCATTAAGCTATATTTTTATAGAAATTAAACATAAATTTTTAGTAAATTTATTTCTTAAAAATCCCACAATCGGGGCGCCTGGGTGGCTCAGTTGGTTAAGCGACTGCCTTCGGCTCAGGTCATGATCCTGGAGTCCCGGGATCGAGTCCCGCATCGGTCTCCCTGCTCGGCGGGGAGTCTGCTTCTCCCTCTCCCGCTCCCCCCTCTTGTGCTCTTTCTCTCTCTCAAATAAATAAATAAAATCTTTAAAAAAAAAAAAAACCCACAATCATAAAAGCCTGAATTGTTCACATTAAAAGTCTTTAAATTTACCAACAAAAATATTATAAACACTAACTTTAAAATTGCATGATTTTTAAAACTTAAAGTTTTTTAAGAAATGGTTATTTGGTTTATTAGTCAAGCAGCTAGCCCTAATATTTAAACATATAATCCTTATTTATATAGCCAAAACACAGTAATTACAAAAATGTTACTCTCATTTCTTAAAGAAAAAAAAAAAATGTTACCCTATTCCAAAAGATTTGTATAAAATTGCTTAAACTCACTGGAAAACCAAGAATCTTTAACACTCAGCAGACGTTTAACGTACTGTTGACAAAACAAATTTTGTGAGTAAACAGGTTCCACATAAAATCAATCACCTTCATAACGGTTGCTAGGACTTCTTTCAATGATGTAATCCTCTGTAGTATACAAAATAAACCCATACGAGTAGGAAGATTATTTTAGATGCCTGTAAAAAGTGTGAGATTACCCATCTTTTTATTAACCTGTATTCCTAGTAATCCATACATAATTAATGCTCACCTTTTAAAAAACACACCCATCTTTACTTTTTTTCTAACTATAAAAATACACGTCCTTTAAAAAATCTTGTAAACATCAATAAAAAAATCATAATCTCACTTCTTGTACATGTTCATCCAGTCATTTATCCACACAGACATACATACATTAAATCTTTTCTTATGAAACTGGGATCACAGAAAATAAGTGCATTTTAAGTGGTTTGTTTGAATCGATCATATTCCAAAAATTAAAATCATATCATCACCAAAGAAGTATAGCGACATTAATTCTTATTAGTTCCAAAATTAGTCTATATAGTTATCTACATGTACTTTTGTGAGGTTTAAAATGTTAGACTTGACTTTCTGCAACGTCTACCTAGCATAGGGGGAAAAGCACAGGCGTTGTAGAGAAAAAGGCCTAGGTTTCAAATCTTGATTTTCTGAATTATGAGAAATGTGACCTTGTGTAAATTACAAACCGACTCTGTCATATGAAAATGAAAATAACTGCACCAAACAGGACTTGTTTCGGGGAATAAATAAAATGATATATGTGAAGGGAGCACCCAATGCCTGGCACACAGCAGTACCTCCACAAATATTAGTTCTTTCCTTCCCATTAAAAAAAAAAAAAAAGGCATGAATGCGACACAACTATTAAAAGTCAGATTTCTATACATAAACGCAGTAAATGTACTTCAAAAGGTGTTATTTTATCAGAGCCTTTTACTCACTTATAATTTATTTCACAATCCACCTAAGCCGGCGACAACCCAGGGTATTACTGCATCAAAAATTTTACTTCGGGAAAAGAAAATATTTTAAGTCCATTTTCCCTAAGTTTGGCTATCTGAAATCATCGCTAACAAGAGGGAAGAAAGTAAAAAATTTCTCAAAAGTATACCATGCGTTAAAACCCTGCGGTTGAGAATTTCCTTTAAGGAAAATTAAAGAATGAAAAAAAAGCGACTCTCTACCCACCCCCCTTCCAATAAGTTTGGGGATGAACAAGACAGTAATTCCTTATAGCAATTTAGAAAATGCCACGGACGTGTGAGAGCACACGGGCGAAAGGTTAAGTTTGAAACTGCTTCCCTGCGTAGATCCGGGGGCGTGGGACTACTAAGGCTCAAAACCTTGGGGTCTTTGGACAGAATTGAGGCATGAGAAAAGGGAGGAGGAGGGGAACAGTCTACAGAAGTCAGAGGCAGAAAAAAAAAAAACCAATGAGAGGGGGAGGGGGCAGCCGAAAAACGCTCCAGACCCAGGGTTTGGCGCAGCGGCTTCACTTGCAGCAAAGGAAGAGTTGGGGAACTAAGAAAATGAGGAAATTCCGGTGGCCCGTGAGGAAGGACGGAGGGGCCGTGAGAAACCGGGAGGCTGCGGCGGAAAGACAGGGGTGGTGTCGTCCGAGAAAAGGGTCGAGCGGGGAAAGCGAGCAACGGCGGGACCGGAAAGCGAGGACAAGGATGTGGGCGGGGAGGAGGAAACGCGGAGGCCTCCGCGGTCGACCAGTGTGAGAGAAAACGAGGAGGGGACGAAGGGGGCCCTGGCAGCGCCGCGGTACCTGCAGAGATCGTCCAGGACGCTGCCGGGAATCTCCACCCGTTTGGTCTCCATGATGAGGACCCACAGCAGGAGCAGTGCATCCCGGCTCCGCGCGGCCGGGGACCGAGGGTACGGCACGGAGACTCCGGCTCGCCGGAGAGGAGGCAGCGACTGTAGCGGCAGCGGCTCCAGCGAAGACGAGGGGGGAAGGGGCGGGACCCACTCACTTCCGTCCCGCTCCCTCAGCCCCGGACCCCGAAGCTGGGCCAGAGCGCGGGGAGGAGCCCCGGGAGTCACGCCCCTGCTCTGCTTGAAAGATCCAATAGAAAGCTGGAGGATTGGGAAGCTGAGCACGCTAAACCAATGAAATGTTTGTTTATTGGTCTGTCATCTCCAATCGGTCTTCAAGCAGCTCAGTTGCTACTCAGAAAACCAACTTCCCGCCGCCTTTGATTGAGCCCTGGGGTGGTCATGCGCATGCGCACCATGCCGCCTTTGCACTACTAGGAAGGCCAGAGGATTCGGGTCTTCAAGATAGACTCCGAGCCCAACATTCTAGGGTGCGGAGTGGTCTGAGCGTCCTCTCGGTGACGTAGGAGGCTCTCGTTCTTCTACAGGGCAGAGCCCCAGAGGCGGTCCTGCGCAAGCGTGCATTTACAGTTCCTGTCACCAAGTATCCTGCACAAACATTCATTGTCGTCCCCCCCCCCCCCGCCATCCCCTCCAGGCCAAGGGCTGTACCTCCTTAACTACAAACACCTGAAGGGGGTTGTCTTTTTTCTGGTGACCTTCCTCTGCCTTTCCTCAGGCGACCCAGACAAAACTTTATCCCAATATCTGACACCTACTGAGAAAATACTGATTGAACCTGAACTCGGGAATCTGCATTCTACCTCCTACACACACCACTCCAACCTACTGGTCCTCGCTGATTCCTCATCTTGCTTAATGGAGCCCAGTACATTTAGGATCTTGCAGAAAAATCTAGCTCCATCCGTTCTTTAACCTTTTACATCAGATCCACAACCCCCCCACCACACACACACACCTGCTCAGTCACAACTTCAGTTTGTTCCACCATTTAATCTCTCATCTTTTTCTTAATTTCTGTCCAAATGTCCTCTGTCCTTACATCAGGTGCTCATTAGTTCTCATTAATGCAAGAACTGCCTAAGCAGGACCTCTGCCTCCATTCTTGGCCTGCACAACTGCCCAAGTTTTATTTCCTTTTGTTCAGGTATGAGCAGGTTCCCGTCTTTTTATCTTCTGATAGCTCCCCTACATCAGCTTCTGATGTATACTCAAACCCAAACTTGATGTAAGAGCCCTTTTACCATCTATTTTACTCTCCTGTTTTCCATCTTTGTTTTTTTGCTCTTTATTGGAGAACTCAAATTTTTCTTCCAGCCATCTATACAGTTTTTATTTTTCTGGAGTTTTCTTTTGTTTTTCAAATGTCTCTTCATTATGGTGTCATAGCTTTGCTTCATAGATTTCTAATCCCTATGAGGATATTAACAATACATTTTTAGGGGCACCTGGGTGACTCAGTTGGTTAAGTGATTGACTCTTGATTTCAGCTTAGGTCATGATCTCAGGGTTGTGATGTCTAGCCCTGCATTGGGCTCTGCCCTCGGTATGGAGCCTGCTTAAGATTCTCTCTCTGTCCCTCTCTCCCTCTCTAAAAAAACAAAAAACAAAACAAAAACCACACACACACAATACATTTTTAAAGTTTTCTAATTCTTGAATAGTCTCTTCTTCCTTTCAGCTGCTTTTTGCTATTAATTTGGTCTCCATCTATCATATTGGAAGTTTTCTGGTAGTCTTCAACTATTCACTCATACTTAAGAGTACATACCTAAGGGCACCTGGGTGGCTCAGTCGGTTGAGCATCTGCCTTCTGCTCAGTCCATGATCTCAGGGTCCTGGGGTTGAACCTGCATCGGGCTCCCTGCTCAGTGGGGAGCCTGCTTTTCCCTCTCCTTCTGCCCCTCCCCCCACTCGTGTGTTCTCTCTCTCTCTCAAATAAATAATAAAAATAAAATCTTTTTTTTTTTTTTAAAGATTTTATTTATTTATTTTAGAGACAGAGCACAAGAGGGGGGAGTGGGAGAAGGAGAAGCAGACTCTCTGCTAAGCAGGGAGCCCGATGCAGGACTCGATCCCGGGACTCCAGGATCATGACCTGAGCCGAAGGCAGTTGCTTAACCAACTGAGCCACCGAGGCGCCCCAAAAATAAAATCTTTTTAAAAAGTACATAACTAAAAAACTGGAGTTAAGTGCTATAAAAGCTGATCGGAAGCTTCTAGCATGAAGTTCCTGAGGGCTTCTCTGTAGGGTGATCTGGCTGGGCTGTTAGTTGGGAACACATGACATCAGTATCTATAGGTCATTCTTTCCAGCTGGTCAAATTCTCTAAAGAGAAAATCCTTCCAGACCAAACTGGAAGTGTTCTAGGAGTCAAGTAGGGGAGCACAGGCAGGAGTATTCTGTTTGCTTTATTTAATCCTCCTGGCATACTACAAGTCTCAGTTTGGGTTTCCTAAGAAGCAGGCCCTGAGACAAGGATTTGAAAGCAAGTAGTTTATGTGGGAGGTGATCCAGGAAAAAATGGTAGCAGAGCAGGGAAGTGAGTCAGAAAGGAAAGAAAGCCAAAAAATGGATTATTATCAAGGAAGTTAGCACTGTGGGTAACTGGAGCTGATCCCACTGGAGAATTCTGGAGACCAGGGTAAAACATACACTGCCTACTGAAGGGATGAGGAAGATGGGGTATTTATATACTAACTTCCATCGTCCTTGGTTACGGCATGTTCCTGGAGCTTATACCCCAGCCTGCCCCATGAGCCAGGAAAAGCCCTCATGGAAAGAAATGCAGATGCTAGCAGTTAGAAGTCCAGGCAGCATGGTGTAATGGATCTTTAAGTGTGGGAGTGAGCCCCTTGAATGGTTCTATTTTGCTGGATATGCATCCTATCTGCTTAACTGAACTTCTTTTCTCTGGCTGGGGGTATCTTAGCAGCTATTTTTCTCAGTGGTCCACGTGAAGCTCAAGTCTGGTTTTCAGAGTACTCTAAATGATGGCAGTGAAACAACAGTGGAAGGCCCAGTGGCGCTTATCCCCCAGGGGCCAATGATATCTATGGAAAGAAGCAGGCTACCGGGCCCTTACCAAAGGACCTGGAGGAAGTCCTCCTGCTCCCTTATCGCTCTGAAGTTTCATCTTAGGGATAAGCTCTACAACCCTTTTTTAGCTCTCACAGGCCTGCAGATCTCCAGGCTTCCATACAGTGCTAAACCAATTCCTTCACTGAGAATTCCACAGATGTCTGGGGGCAAGCATCTTTCAAGCTACTTTCCTGCCCATTCACCATCCCACCCCTGCCTCCTCACACACACATCTAGGAGCCGGACATGTGCACAGTAGAACAGTCCTTATGGCAGCCCCCTGAGCTGTGACTTCCAAAGAATTCAGGGCCTCATTCAAACCCAACTGCCCACAGGCCCCAGCAGCCTGTGGCTTGAGAAAGGCCGATAAATTGGAGCTTGAAATTAAGGGAAAGGGAGATGCTAGGCTTCTTAAATTATAATATAGATACAATTTTAAAATAATTGGGTTGATCAAAACCTTTGCCGTTTTATGCTATCTCATTTAGTCTTTTTAACTACATGGGATAGGCAGATAGAGATTTCAGTTCTGAGCTCACAGAAGGAATTCTGCTTTAGGGAGAATGACACAATAACAATTATTATTAATGTCTGTACAGCATGGTATAGAATAATATTCTTTCAAATACAATAATCCTTACAACAAAACAAGTTATCGCATTCTTTAAAAAATACTTAATATGCTTATTGGCCTTCCTTTAAATTGAGTGAGATTAAGTCTGTCGAAGCCTATTCACATACCTTCAAAGTTCTTTTTTTAAATTTATTTTCCAGCTTTATTGAGGTGTGATTGACAAATAAAAATTGTACATATTTAAGGTGTTGTCCATTCAGGCTCCTATGACAAAAAATGCCAGAAATTGGGTGTCTTATAAACAACAAACATTTATTTCTCACAATTCTGGAGGCTGGGAAGTTCAAGATCATGGCACTAGCAGATGTAGTGTCTGGTGAGAACCCATCTCCTAGTTCATAGACTGTGCCTTCTAGGTGTCAGCTTACACAGCGGAAGAGGCAAGCTAGCTCTCTGGGCTCTTTTACAAGGGCACTAATCCCATTCATAAGGGCTTTACCTTCATGACGTAAGCATGAAGCCCCCACCTCCTAATACTACCACATTGGGCACTCGGATTTGAACACATGAATTTGCAGGGGGACACAAACATCAGACCATAGCAGATGTACAACATGTTGTTTTGATATATATTGTGTAATTACCACAATCAAGCTAATTAACATATCCATCACCTCAATAGTTACTGTGTGTGTGTGTGTGTGTGTGTGTATGTGTGTGGTAAGAACACTTAAGATCTACTCTGAGCAAATTTCAAGGGGAGGCTGACACAAAGGGCAAATATGTGTTGTGTAAATGTTGACTTGAATCATAATATCTTTGTTAGTTGAAGGTACACATTTTGTTATGAGATGAATAAGTTCTGGAGACCTACTGTACAGCTTGGTGACTATAGCTAATAATGTATTATACACTTAAGGGGAGGGGCAGTTAAGTAGTTAAGTTCAAACTGGTCTGGGTGGTCTGGGGCTGTGGAGCTCCTCCTCCAGGCAGTCATTACTGCTTGAGGGGTAGCTTCGGTTTCCCTCAGGTCTCTTGCCTGAGTTAAGAGATAAGCTGGAAAGAAGGAAAAACTTGGAACAAAGGTGGCTGGGTACAAACAGGTGAGCAGTAAAGGTCAGGTCTTGGGTCTAGCTGGTGATAGAACTACTAGGGCCATCTCACCATCATCCTGAGGATAAAGCTAACACATGCAGGAGGGCAAAGCTGAAAGACCTGTGGAGAAAAGGAGGCAGATCTGTCAGGAGCTCAGCTCAGCTGGGGTGGGGGTGGGGGTGGGGGTGGGGAGGAGGGTGCGGGAAGAATGAGAGAGAGAGAGCACAATCCCGAGCACCGGGTCCCAGGTGGGAGCCAGAGTTGTCAGGTGTCACAGAGTTGCCAATTAAAGCAAGAAGCCAAAAATGAGAGTTAAGCCTTTAATCAACTTACCACGATGGCTAAAACCAGAGAAAGCACTGACCCCTTCTGCTCCACTTTCCCATGGAACAGGGTACAGGTCAAGGGTCAGGGGGAGGTCAAGGGCCAGGTGGATCTCACTGAACAAAAGGCTCATGCAGTTTTATGGACCCTGGGAAAGAGGAACGAGGGGAAGTCTTAGTGTGGAAAAGTACTCCTCCTTCCCCCAGGAGGTGGCTTCAGCGAGGAGACTAAAGAAGACCTCTGCCAAGGCCTCAGATAAGGAGAGAGTATTGGAGGACCTGGGGCTGGAAATGCAAACAGGAGAAGCATGGGAGTCACAGGGGCCCAAGTCCCTGACTGCCGTGCTCCCCAGAGACTGCAGTGTACAGGCTGTGTGGGGAGGGCAGTCACTCCCGGGGAGACCTGTCAGGTAAAGCTTCTGTGATTGCCTAAGGTTAGGCCCGAAAAATCACACGTAGATCTCTAACCACAAGCCAGACTCCTCAAGAACTGCTGAAGTGAATCCTGAAGCCTGTCCTACCTCTGAACTTATATGAACTCACACATGTCTCTTGGTTTCAGCCAAAGCTTTCTTTTACTTTGGCCCAAATCATTTCAATTGACATGTGCCACTGGGCATCCAGAGGCTCAAACCTGAAGCCTAAGAGTGAACCTTAGTTCCTGTCTTTCTCACACATGCACATGTCCAACCCACACTGAGTCCTGGCCAATCAACCTCCAAGATCCATCCCTTCTTCTCCACTTCAGCTTTCCCTACCTCAGGCCAAGCCTCCTCAACCTCAGCCGGACTGCTTCCACAGGCTTCTGAAGGTCTCCTGACCCCCTTGCAACCCATTCTCCACAAAGCTGCAAGAGTGATTATCTAAACACATTAATTTGATCACTCTTTTGCTTAAAAGTCGTGACCTCAGGGTAGAATCCAATTTGTGTGCCATGGCTTGAGAGACTTTACGCGAGGGGCACCTGCCCGGCATTCACTCTCCTTTCCTCTCATGTCCCATCTTCATCTCTCACTACACTCTCGCCACGGTAGTCTCCTTGCAATTCATCACATACTCCAAGCTCTTTCTGCACACCGTTCCTTCTGCCTGGAATGCTGCCCACCCCTCCACAATTCCCTCTTTTGTGGCTTTCTGTACAGCTTAACATCACCTCCTCAGAAATTCTTCCCAGACCCCTCGATCTAAATAGCCTCCTCAATTTGAAAATTTCTCGGGCCATTTTTCCCCTCTCCCCACTATACTATAAGTTACAGGAAAAGCAGGGACCTTTTCTAACTTACGCATTGAATCCCCAGTGCTTAGAGGTGGGCACTCTCTAAACATTTGCTAACTAATGTTTAGGCAAAGGAGTAAGTTATCACCAAGTATGTGTTGAGGTTACTGAGGAGCAGGTGGTGGGATGCAAAATTCTGTTATGAGTAAGTGTGAATCTATTAAAAAAAAAGTAAATCTGCTGTTGGAAGAGATGTACTCATCCTAGCTTAGATGGGTTTTGTTACTTTGATTAAAGAGTCCTAATTAGTACAGAGCTAACTTGCTCTCTTTCTTTATGTTTGTGTATCTATGTAATAGATATATATTATATAAATATAATACAATATACAGTAATATAATAAACATATATAATATAAATACATGTCATATTAACTTTGTATGTTAAGTACAAGCATATTATGTGCAAATATACATATGAAACAATTCTACACTCTAGAACTCTAGAACCTCTTCCTTCTCTTTTGCCTTCTCCTTCCTGCCCCTCTGTCACCTCTAACCTCCATGCTTTAATGGGTTTGCCCAGAATAGGAGAAGGCAGTTGGAAGAGGTGGGAATGAAGTTGCCAGACCAAATGAAAAAGCTTGGTCCACTGGTAAACAACCTTCTTTTGCGTGGGAACAAATCAGGAAAAAGAACATTGTTTCAGGATATTTCTTTTTTTTTTAATAAATCATTTCTTAATTTAAAAAAATCAGAAATATAATCTCTATAACAGTTCTTAAGAATTCTCTTATTAATTCCTTGTCATGGATGAAGGGATTATTTTTGACTAAAATTTCAGAAACTAACACACTACCACCTTGAGTCTTTGAACAAATGTTGAGTAAGCATGCTGGAGGCTGGCTTGTTTCTCTTTAACTGAACTTGCAAGCATCTTAACTGGAAAAGATGTTTGTCTCATAGCATCTCTTATATTGCATTCTTTAAAAGAGAAGGTTCTGTTGAAACAACAAACAGATCTAAAGAGGTACTTCTCCAACCACGCGTTGTGAAAATAATCAGCTCAGTGTGGCCCCATTGGTATTCTACAGTCTGCATGGGGCTCAGAGCTCAGTTAGTCCAAACCGAGGCCCACCGCTGACAGGCCTGGGATCGCCTTCCCTCTTCCCAGAATATACAAGGAAACCAGAATCCAAAACAGGAAAAGTCTGTTTTCTATCTACCAGCAGGGGGTGTACATTCCTTTTTTTTTCCATTTTCAAATTTTATAGCACACTGCTGACTTACATTCTTAGCACAAGAGCAGGACTTGAAAACTGAGGCTTTTGCCATCCGTAGGACCTACTTCCGAGGAGTTGGTGTAATTACATTATTTTCTGGCTAAAGGATTCAGATCTCTGAAGAAACCTTTCCCACCTGTTCCCTTCAAGTTGCCAAATGGTGACCGCCTCTCACTCTGTTCGTTAGTTTTGTGTTGCAGTGCTAACAAATTACCACACCTGTGGTGGCTTTTAAACAATACAGATTTCTTATTTTAGAGTTCTCCAGGTGAAAAGTCTAGCACAGATCTCACTGGACTGAAAGAGAGACGTCAGCAGGGCTGTGTTCTCTAGTGGGGGCTCTAAGGCAGAGTACGCCTCCTTGCCTTTTCCAGCTCCTAGAGGCCATAGGCATTCTTTGGCTCCTGCCCTGCTTCCTCCATCTCCCAAGCCAGCAATGGCGGGTCGATTCCCATTACATCACATCACTCTGGCCCTCAGTCACATCTCTCTGTGACTCACCTCTGCTTCCTCTTCCATTTTTAAGGAACCATGTGATTACATTGGGCCCACCCAGATAACCGGGGACAATCTATCTTAAAGTCAGCCAATTAGCAACAGTAATTCCATCTGCAACTCTTTTCCTCCTTTTCCTTTAAGGCAACATATTCACAGATTCCAGGGATTAGGATGGACATTTTGCGGGGCATTATTTTGCTTGTCACATTCTGTATCCCTGCTCTGTGCCTATCTACCCTCTCACTTCCATCTCCAGGAATCAGTGACTACACATTTTTTCAGTATGTGGAAATTGCTAGTTTTAGTCGTTTGAAATTATGGAGTTTTATCTCCCTTGTTCGTGTGCTTGGGATCACAGAGTTTAAAAATAGCCTTTATTGAAGGCTAAAATAATATAATGTCTGGGATTTGCTTTAAAATAATCCACCCAGGGAAAAACTGCCAGACAAATAGATAAAATAAGACTAGCAAAAGGGTGGTAATTGTTGAATTGGGTAATGAGTACATGGAGTTTAAGTATATTCTTTTATATATATTTTCAAATGTTCAGAATAAAACGTTTTCAAAAATTGAGACCTTCTTACTGAGAATTCAACTGATTTCCCCCCCTTAATGTTTCTTTAATATTTGAAAGGAAAAAAATTGATAAGACTAATCGAAACTGCATACTAAGTATGTCATTTTTAAACGTACCAGTTTGAAATACAATTGACTTAAAAAATTATTGAGATATAATTTTACGATGAAATGCTGTTGACTTTTGCGAAATTAAACTTTTGATTTTGAAGAAGCTGTAGAGTCCCATCTAGCTGTGAGACGAGAGATGCGGTGGGCTCACATTTTTGTCACCACAAAGGCCCTTCATATCGCCCTTTATGTTGTCTGGATGTCAAATATTTATGACCTCTTCCAAATGAAAACCTTCTCAGGACTTTCCTGGGCCTTCCTCTCAGCTTTGTGTATCTTAAAATGGCCCACACCTATTTTCCAGAGCTGTCAAACCTACTGTATGACGGACATCCTAAAATGGTACAGACTAAATTTTAGGTACCATAGATGAGCTAGCAGAAGATGACTTCAAATAAGGGATTGAGAGCAATGCACGGGAGAGCAAAGAGGCAGCTCGGAACTCACCAACCGTGTGGCAGCTGCCTCTTCCCCCATCCAGTCCCTTCCTTCCTCTCAGTTAAAGGGCTCATTGAAAAGCCTCTATGTTCTGGCCCTCTCACAGCTACCTGTGACAAGATGTGGCAACTATCTTTGGGCAAGGAGATGTAAGCACAGGGTGGCCGAGGACTTCTGGAAAGTTCTCAAAAAAAAAAAAAAAGTGGCAGGCTTTGCTTCACTCCTTTCTCTTTGTTCCTTCCTGTGGCCAGCAAGTGATCACCTGGGCAGAGAAGCAAAATAGTAGATGCCGTGGTCTCTGAAGACCTTGGAGCTCCCAAACCAGCACTGGAGGGCCTGTCTCTAGACTTCTTTTACTGAAAGAGTGATAAACTTCTATCTTGTTGAAGCCACAATATTGGGCTTTTTTCTGTTTTAGGCAGACAATAGTCCAAACTGACGTAGGCAATCTTCTTATCTAGAGACAGAGGCAGTTCTCATTTGAGGCTTGATTCTGCTCTTTTGATTTGGAAAAAAAAAAAAATTCAATAGACCTTTTGATCATACAAAATCAAAGGCCCCAGAGGATTCCAGACAGAAGAGTTTGAGACTGTTGGAAGGTAAACAGCTCTGCAGAATGATGCAGAGTTGTACCTTCCTTTGAGCAGAGTTGAAGCTCTGTAGAAAGAGGGCTAGGATGGTAGAGAAAGGAAAAAGGAGCAGTCAGGAGGGTTCCCCTCATTTTAGAAGGAAAAAAGGGGATAGTGGAGGGCCTGTACCCTGAGTAGAGTTTAGGGTCAAGGATTCCCACATGTATCATCTATTCTCTCAAAGATGTTCCTGCCACTGGGGGCCTAAGGAGAGTGACTGCCAGTGTAGCAGCCCTCTACAGAGACAGATCTAGAAGCCAGGGTATCAGTATGCATTAATTTTAAAGTGGATTTTTTGGGGTCACCTGGGTGGCCCAGTTGGTTAAGCGTCTGCCTTCAGCTTGGGTCATGATCCCAGGATCCTGGGATCGAGCCCCGCATTAGGCTCCTTGCTCGGCGGGAAGCCTGCTTCTCCTTCTCCCTCTGCCTGCAGCTCCCCCTGATTGTGCTCTCTCTCTCTCTCTGTCAAATAAATGAATAAAATCTTAAAAAAAAAAAAAAGAAGTGGATTTTTTTCTTTTCTGCTCCGTAATTTTCTTTGCTAATGTCCAAGCACAGTAAACATCTGTTTTGTTTTGTTTCATTTGATTTTTCGGCATCCATTTTCCCTCTGGTAGCATGAAGGTATTTTCCTTCAGGGGCTCTTCCTCCTCCACTCTCATCCCTGTGTTTGGGTGGATTTGACTCCCCACCCCCAACCCCTTCATTCTGGCTCTCAGTCTCCAAGAGCATTTGTCACGGTGATTATTTAAGGGATACGCTAGGAACCCAAGCCAAATCCAAAGACCCAATGCTGGGATGTTTGCTGAGCTTAATGGGAGAGAAATGCCTTCTTTCTGCTCAACTTGCTAAAGTGCTGGAACGTAAGCCCAGAGATTCTGTATCTTATGCAATGCATGAAGAGAAAAACAGCATGAAAAAAAAAGTTACGAGACAAAGAGACGATTGGCAGGAATTGAGCAATAGTCCAAAGCAAGAGGGCAAACTTGGGGGTGGAAATGGGAGCCTAGACCCTGCTACTTTGGCATTGAACAAATGATCTCTGAAACCTGAAGAACTCAAGAATGTTCCAGTTACAGTAATAAAATCAATATATCATGAATGAAATATGATATCTTCAGAAAAACTGCTCACAAGTCCAAGTGGGAAGAGCTGAATCAGACAGTTGGCTAACATTACTCACATCTTTAAAGAAAACAATGAGTCAACAAGGCATAGAGGAAAAAGCCTGAGAGAGATCAAAGATGCTGAATCTGGCACTGCCTCTCCAAATCCCAGAGACTGGAGACACGCTGAGTAGCCAACCTGACTGTTTGCTAGTACTTCCATATAATGGCACTGAATGGACCCTTAACCTTTAAGTGTCACTCACCTTGGGCTCTGTGTCAATTCAACACTCTTCAAGCAACATTAAGATGATAATATCACAGGGTGCCAGGGTGCCTGGGTGCTAAGCCTCAGTCAGTTAAGCAACCAAATCTTGGTTTCAGCTCGAGTCATGATCTCAGGGTCATGAGATCGAGCCCCACATTGGGCTCTGGCTCAGCACAGTCTGCTTGAGATTCTCTCTCCCTCTTCCTTTGCCCCTCCCCCAACTTGCACACATACTCTCTTTCTCCCAAATAAATAAATAAAATCTTAAAAAAAAAAGATGACAATTACACATCTGATGTGCTTCCCATTAGCACTATTAAGGCTGATGTAGGGCCCTGCAAAGGAGATGGGGGCAGTCCAGGGCAAAACCATTTGAGAGAAGAGAAAGTCACACTACAGCTGGGAGGCCAAGTCCAAGGATCAGGTCTGGATGGTCCTAAACAGAATCAGAATTTGGGGAAAGGGTGTGGAATTGGAAGGGGGGTTTTGGGTGAGGGGCTACACTTTCTGAGTCAGAGACACACTAATGAAAGATCAATTTGGGGGGCCCCTGGGGGGCACAGTCAGTTAGGCGTCCGACTCTTGGTTTTGGCTCTGGTCGTGATCTCAGGGTCGTGAGATCGAGCCCCCATGTCCGGCTCCGTGGTCAGTGTGATGTCTGCTTGAGTCTCTCCCTCTCCCTCTGCCCCTCCCCTGCCAAATAAATAAATCTTAAAAAAAAAAAGATCAAAGTTGGAAATGAACAAAGAGATTTTGGTAATTGTTCTAATCAGCCTAGAAGGGTCTGCATCTAGCCTTTGTTGGCTAGGGCTGAAGAGTGGAGCTGATCTGAGAGCAGGGAGCCAGGTGCATAGGAACAGGGCCCTATTCTTGGTTCTAGTCCTTTGCATGATAGAAAGTTCCCTGCCTACTAGGGACCAAACCTCTATTTCATTTATGTTAGAAATACTATTTTAAAATTCCTTTGTTCTAAAGTTTTTTCCCCTCTAAAAATGCAAATGTCCATGAAGAGAGTTAATACATTAAACATTACCCCTCATATTTACATTCTTACTCAGAAATTTCTTTTTTTAAGCAAAAATTAAGTGCCCTCTATTTTATTACTTAAAAGAGTTTCATTGTTTCTACTAGTAAATGATTTTCTAAAAGTTAATTTTCCTAGGTTTGAAAATGAAAAATTCATGCAAATCAATGAGGAATCATGCTGGAAATAAATAACATATGTAATTTTCATGCTTAAAAAGCCCAAGCCATGAAATTATTAATATGCAAAAATGGATTGTTAATTTCCATACATTTGCCCATATATGTATTACTGTTTTCATGACAACGGGGTATGTGAACCATAAATTTATACTTTCCAAAATTATATAAGCCTTAAAGATTATCTACATCTGGCTTTGAGCGCCATTTCTTCAGAGGTATTTGTTTGGGGAAGAATAGCAAATAATGATCAGCAGGCAGACTGCCAGTTTTCAAAAGAACTGCTGGTTTGGCCTTGTTTCAGTACTTACATTAAAGACTGTTTATTTAATTTTCTACAGAAGAGAATTTGCATTGCTAAACTTGGAATATATAGTACGCATCCCTAATTTGGGTAAAACACCCATTCTGCCAGAGCTCCGTAATTAGAAAACAACCATAAAAGCTATACAAAAACATATGCTAGTTTTCACAAATTTAAAGCTTTATTTGCAAAGCATCAGCCCACTCTACACAGGTGCTACGCCTATCATGAATTATTGCTTAAGCTTATGTTCCTGGTTCTACTTCTCTCCTCTCTCTTCCCTTCTCCTGGCTGACTCCATCCCCCTGCTCTGAGCAAGTTAACCACCTCTGTGTGCCCTTGCATACCTTCTACCTACTCTTTTAATTAGACAAACTCATATACGTGGGGATTTCTTCATTACTGTTTTACAAAATAAAGGGAGGGTTATAAAATTTTTTGCATTTCCTTTCCCAGTAAAAATACATAGTGGAAATCTCTCCAAGTCAATTGATAGAGAGCTCACTCACCCTTTTAGCTGTATAATAGCCTGCGTTGCTTAATCTTCCACCATTTAGTCAATTATTTCCTTAGTGAAGGTCATACACTTTGTTTCCAATTTTTTGTCCCTAGAAAAAGTGCTGCAATAAAATAATACATGTTCTCATGTAATAGTGCCTTTATTTGCAAGGACCAGCAGGAGGAAGATGATTGAGGCAAAGGTATGCATATTTTTCATTTTATTTTAAAGATTTTATTTATTTATTTGAGACAGAGAGAGAGTGAGCAGGGGGGAGGGGCAGAAGGAGAGGGAGAAGCAGACTCCCTGCCAAACAGTGAGACTGATGCAGGGCCTGAGATCATGACCTGAGCCGAAGGCAAATGTTTAACCGACTGAGCCACCCAGGCGGCCCTGCATATTTTTTATTTTAATAGGTAGTGCCAGATTGCGTTGCCAATGGTGTGTACTGAATTCACAGCTCCAAATGCAATGTATGAGCCAGCCCTCTCCTGTACTCCTGCATTCATCGCGGCTGCCACTAGCCATAGGCATTATGTTCTTCTCAATTATCGCATCTTGGTAAAAAGTGTTGTTTTTTTTAAATGTTCATCTTTGTTAATTTTATCTCGCACACATACACACACACACACACACACACACACAAGAAGTTCTGGATCAGGGTTAGATTCCTAACACTTCACAGTAAATAAGTGAGCTGCCCCCTGGCCCCGCTCTGGTCCAGCTATTGTCTCTCTCACTCCTGTGCTGGCCTCCTTTCCATAGATGCACATAGACTTTTCTTTCATCCTAACAGATGAACCGTACCTAAGCTGGGGGAGGTTTCTTGGAGAGGGTTTTTTGTTATTTCATTTGTTTGGTACTGTCTGTGGATTTTACTTCATTTTCCCTAGCTTCAGGTTTTTAAAGCAAAATGTCATGCCAGGCTGATATTTTTCCTTTTCAAGTAAATTCTTCTTTCTATCCAAAGACTCTAAAATTAGTACTTTGACATAAAATAAAATAAAATAAAATAAAATAAAATCAGTACTTCAACTCTTGGAGTTCAGGAATTTTACCACAACATGCTTGTATGTAAGTAGATATACCTGTTGTTGTTTTTAATCAATCTGACCGGAATTCAGTAAGGCCTTTCAATCTTCAGATTCAAATTTTCTTTCCCTCTGAGAAATTTTCTTCCTTTTTTTGTTCATTATTGCCTCTCCTCCATTCCTTTTTTTTCCTTCTGGTAATCTTGCATCTCCTGCATCTGTCCTCCATGTCTTGAATTTTTTCACCATTTCTATTGCTTTTTTTCCTTCTCTCTGTATTTTGAAATCTTTCTTCCACTTTCCAGACCACTAACTCAGGTTCCAACATTACCATCTTTTCTTTATTTTTAAAAAAATTTATTTAAGTACTCTCTGCACCCAATGAGGGGCTTGAACTCACAACCCCGAAATCAAGCATCTCACACTCTTCTGACTGAGCCGGCCAGGCGGCACATTCTTTAAATTTATCTACTGACCTGTAAAATGAGAAAACTATGCTTAATGCTTTCAGACATTCTCTTTCATGCTATAACGGAAACTTGTTAAAGTCTCTTGCTTTTTTGGGGCGCCTAGATAGCTCAGTTGGTTAGGCGTTTGCCTTCAGCTCAGGTCATGATCCCAGAGTCCTGGGACTGAGCCCCCAGTCGGGCTCCCTGCTCAGTGGGGAGCATGCTTCTCCCTCTCCCTTTCCCCCTCCCACTTACTTGTGTGCGTGCGCAAGCACTCTCTCTCAAAATAAATGAATAAAATCTTTAAAAAAAAAGTCTCTTACTTTTCTGGTGGTGGCTCAAACTATCATCTTTCTCCTACAGCAGTTTGCATTTTGTGAGGAGTCGTCTGATGCATTAGTTATCTATTTGCTGCAAAACAAATCATCTCAAAACTTTGTGTCTTAAAATAATAAGCATGGATCATCTCTGGAGAATTCAAATGGAATAAAAGGGAGCCCAAGAAAAGTAAAAGTCTCCTTTCTGCCTCAGAGATCCAGTTCCATCTACCCATCCACCTACCCAGAGATAACTGTATTTTACAGTTAAAAAAATTTCTAAGTGTATATAAAGAAATGTTTTTGCCTTTTTGTTTTGATAATTTCAGACTTTAAAAAATCATAAAAATAGTACAAAAAACCACATACCCTTCACCTAGAACTTTGCAAATATTAGCATTTTGCCACATTTGTTTTATTATTCCTTCTCTCTCATATATATATATAATTTTTCTCTCTATGTAGTCTCTTTCTCATACACACACACATACATATATATCACACATTTTTTTCTGAAAAATTTGAGATTGGATTGTAAATATGATGCCTATTTACATCAGTGTGTGTTTCCTGAAAATAAGACAATTTTCCCTTATAAACATAGTATAATTATAAAAATCAAGACAGTAACATCAATTTGTTACAATTATTTAATCTGTAGACCTTATTCAAATTTTACTAATTACTCTACTAATGTCTTTTATATATCAGAAGAAAAAGAATTTTTTTCTGCTCTAGGATCCAATCCAAGATCACACATTGCATTTAGATGTCATGCCTTTTTAGTCTCCTTTAAATTGGAAGAGTTCCTCAGTCTTTTTCTGTAGATAACATTTTTATAAAATCACAAGTAGAATAATTCTATTTACATTTATGTCCCTTGTCTTTTTCCCTTACTAATCTAATTTTTCATTTCAATACATATGCATTATCTCATTCACTTCATTGACTACACAGTATACTGTATCAGTCAGAATGATCTAGTTTCTGTCATGATAACAAACAACACCAGAATCTCAGTGGCTTAATGCTGCAAACATTTATTTCTTGTGTATGGGATAGCCCTTGTCCTCCCTGTGAAGGCTCAGTGCTCTGGCTGCTTCTGTCTCATGACTCTTCCCCCAGTGTGTGTTTCTACAAATGCTGTACCAGAAGAGCATGGAGAGCCTCACATGGACTCTTAAAATCCTTTTAAAATTTCCGAGGACAAAGCAAATCACATCAGCATGCTCACCCTCAAAAGGGCAGAAATGTATTCCTTCCACGTACCCAGAAGAAGGAATCAAGAAATAATGGCAAGGACTGGTATTATCCACCACATGTATCATTGAATGGGCATACCGTAACTTATTTAAGTAGTCCCTTACTTATGGACATTTAGATTGCTTCTGGTTTTTTTTCCAAAACCGTTATAGATTTATTTTTGCACACTTGTATGAGTATATCTACAGTATAAATTCCAAGAAATGGAATTGCAAAAACAAAGGGAATGTGCATCTAAAGTTTAGGCTGCCATTTTGAGCTTTGTGCAAGATGAGTGAACAGAGGGAGCCCGACAACAGGGACAGAGACAGAAAAACAAAAGAAAGAGATGGAAGACAGAGAAAGTAGATTTCAAGACTGACTTTCCATTTTACAAGCCCTTTGAATCTTGACTGTTCATGTCTATTAAACTGCAGTATGTGTTCAATAAGCTCTTGTTTTCACTTTTGCATGTTTGAGTGGGTTTCTGTTACTTGTCATAAGTTGCACCACAGTTGGAGGGGACAGAAAGAGGGATGGCATAATCATTCCTCTCATTTCAGTTTCAACACAGCAAAGAGTTGGGACAAGGAAAGAGCTGAGCACTCAGTTATCATACCAAAGTTTCCCCACTGGACCAGTGTTTTGTAAGCTGAGCTGCTTTTAAATCCAGTGCCAATGGTTGATAAAAGTGAAGCTTACCCAGATCTGAAATAAGAGTACTGCCCAAGGAAAGTCTTGATTTTAAATTCCATCTCAGGATAAGTTCTCATTTTTGAAAACCCAGCTCAGATTCCACTTCATGAAGCGTCGTCAATTGCTACCAGAGCTCATCCTGATCTCCAATTTTTCTAAATCTTTATAACACAAGACATACAATCAGCCCACATTTGGTTTTATGCTGTTCTCTGTTTGTCTTACTGCTAGAAGGAATTTTTAAGTTCTTTGCGTGTAGAGAAAATATTTTATATCTATTTTGAATTTCCTAAGAACCCTGTGGATAAAACACTTAATAAAGGTGCAACTCTTGACTGATTGCTTCTACCTAAGTTATATAAACCTGGCTTAAGTTGAGTGTATTTATAAACCATAAATAAAATGAAGGACAGCTCAGCTAAAACCAACATGTGGTTCCCATCTGCCACATCTCCCAAGGAATATAGATTATTGCTTTGGTGATATAACTGCAGCAATTCTGAAAATGGACAGCAGACTCCTGTGTGTACCATTCTAGTGACTACAGACCTTTTTCTCAGACTTGTATCAACTTAAGTAAGCCTACCCACATTTTCTATGCATATTTATAGAATATGACACTGTCACTAATCACTCTGTAGGTTTATTTATTTTAAAGTATTGGAAGCCTCTTTCCCCCTTTCTTAGACAATCATTCTATAAATGTTGGTGTATATCATTCCCCTGCATTTTTTCATATTTTTACCATACTACTATGTATCCATAAATAATATATACTATTGTTAGGGGTGCCTGGCTAGTTCAGCTGGTAGAGCATGTTTCTCCCGATCTTGGGGTTGTGGGTTCAAACCCCACATTGGGCATAGAGCTTATACACACACACACAACACCATTGTTGCACGTGCATATTTTAAGTCATAAATGTTGTCATACCCTTATTATTCTGCAACCTCCCTTTGTCTTCTTCGTAATAAATACTTGTAATTTATCTCATGTTAATATGGTAACTCTAGATCACTTAACTATCTAGAATTTCATTTTCACAAACCCATTTTCCTGTTGATACACATTTAAGTTACTTTGAGTTTTTCCCAGTTTCAAAAAAATGCTGCAAGGAAATGTTCTGGTACATATCTACTTATGCACATACACAGGAGTTTGTCTATGGTATATACCCAACAAGTGGAATTCCTGCATATGCGTATCAATTTTGATAATGCCTCCATTTGATAAATGGCTCTCCAAAATGGTTGTAACATTTCAACTCCCACCAGTAATACGTGAAAGTACCATTTCTCCCACATCCTCCCTTGATTTGTGTTAATTTGGTCTGCCACAATGAACAGACTTTTAATAAGCCA